TAATGAATTTTAAGTAAAAATCAAAAAAAATCGATAGGTTTAATAATAAAAATTTATGTTAAAAATTAATTAAAATTATTTAAAATTGCAGGCAAATTTGCTTGCAATTTTTTACCATTAAAGGGATAATGCATTTGACAAAATTGGTCACCAACTTTTAAATAATTAAATATATTAAATGTTTCTTTTATTTTAGACTTTTCATATGCAAGCTTAGTAAAACTGCAAAATTTGACTTCATTTTTATTACAATTATGTATTGCATAAAGTTCACAATTTGGTAATAGAGGCATTTTTTACAAGTTCGTGTTGAATTTTGTAAAAAAATAAATCATAATTTTGGTGATGATCAGCAATAAATTTCACCAATCACAGTAAGATTTACTAAAATTAAAGCGATATTCAGCAGCCAATCATACGAAACTCTCTCATGCTTAATAGAAGCTTATTTAAAGTAACATTATTTTTATTATTAACTAATCTTTCTTTATTATTTAATTATTTTAAATATAAAAAAGTATAAAGCAATTGATTTATTTTTATATAATAATATAAAGATTTATTGTTAATAATTATATTTAATAGAATTTATTATTTTGTTTTAATTATAATAGTATTTATTATAATATTATTAAATTCTTATAAGTTATTGAATTTTTATCATAATTATTTTAATAAAAATAATTATTATTTAAGCTGATTTTATTAATTCTTAAAATTTTTAATAATTTATTTTATATATTTCATTTTTTCTAAATTAATATACTATTTTTATTATAGATATTTATATAAATAGTAGTATTTTTTTATATTAAAAATCTATTAAATTCTTCATTTGAATTGGATTTTAATATTTAATAATAATTAATGTATTAGCTAATTAATAACTTGAAGTCAAATAAAGATTTTTGATTAAATGGAAAATAAATTTTATAGTTTTGATATCATTTTTATTAACTACAAGTATTTCTAAAGCATGATTTTTCTTTGCTCATTGATTTTAATTATAGAGATAATTATTATAATTTTGCAAATCTTTTGAAAATTTTATTAAAGGTTTAGTAAAAAAATCAACTTTAGATTTATATATTTAAAGTTGATTAAGATATAATTTTAAGATGATTGCATAAAAATTTAAATCATCACAATTAAATTAAGGTATTACTTTTTTATATTTTTTTGGATTATATCTTTTAATAAACTATTCAAATTCTTTAGAAATACTATATCTTTGTGAAAAAAATATCTAGTTCATACTTGTTAACAAATTAAGGTATATCAGATAAATTAATAATAAAATTTTTTAGCTAAATCTTTATTTCATTTACCTTTGTTTAATTCAATATAATTTAATAAAGCATTAGAATTTTTTATGTAATCAAAATTTTTTTCATATAAAAAATTATAATTATATTAAAAAAAAATTTAAATAATGAAAGTGAAAGTAATATTGATATTATAAGTTCAGAAAATGAATCTTTTGAAAATAAATCAATTGAAATAAACCATTTAGAATTAATTAATAAAAATAATGTAAAAATTTTTATAATCTTACAAATATTTTTTTATTATTATTAAAAAATTTATTAATATTATTTTTTTTTATAAAAAGTCTATTTAGATAATATGATTATTGATTCTAATACTAATTTAAAAGAAATATCAAATACAATTGATTTTAATGATAATAATAATGAATTTATATTACAAGAAATATTAAATATTTTTGATATTAATAAAAATTATGAAAATGATAATAAATATAATGATGAATATGAAGGATGTATAAAAGGGATGGGTTAGAAAAAAGTAGTGCATATGATATTTTTAATAAAATATAATTTCTTCGATATTCCTTTATTTTGATATTTTTAATGTTTGTAGTAATTTCATAGGATCAACATTTAATAAAATTAATTTCATAAAGTACAGAGCGCCGACGTTTGAGACAGTGCTGATTTATTAGTTTTTATTAAATAATTTTTGCATAATTATTATAATTATTACATAATTAAAATATTATACATTCATTTTCGTTTATAAATATAAACTCTAAAGAACTGAATGCAACACTAGGATCTATATACTCCCTCCCTCTTTAATAACATTATAGCTTCTCTAACATTTTCCAATTTTGAAATTATAATAAAATTTGTATTTTACTACGAATAACGCAAAATGACGAAATGTAAATCATACTTTGAGAAAATAAATTGAATCAATATGTTTCACCATTACTCATTTTTTTTAATGATTAAAATAAATACTGATTTTAATACAAATCTCATAATTTGGATCTACAAAACGCGTAGACGTGCTCACATAACTTGATAATAAAATAATATATAAATCTCACATTTTTCATTTTATTTTTATCTTTACTTTCTTCCTTCCAAAACCAAAACCTAAGGTTGCTGGACGAAATCAAGAGTTTAGACAGACGTCTAAATGGTAAAAGTAAAACTTGGTTAAATTATATTAAAACCTTATTAAAAAATCTGCGAAATTTGAAAAAAGGTAAAACTATATCAAAGCTTATAAAAATGGCGAAACTATATCAAACACTTAATAAAAATTTAGAGAAACTAAAGGTTTAACCGTTTTGTCAAATCCAAAATGAATTTAGACAAGCAATCTTACCAAAACCTTTATACAACTAAATAAATAAAATAAGATGGAATTTTTAGAATTTCTCAACCGTTACTTAAAACTTTTTCCTAAAGCAACACCTGAACAAGTTAACGAAGTCTTTCAAATTAGCAGTAAGTTGGTTTTACTCGTCAAAAGACCTATTATGCTTGCCCAGTAACTAACTTTGCCTTTTTTGATCTTCTAACCAATTTAGATGAACATCAAGGTAAGCCTTTGCGTCGTAAAGATTGGTCAACACAAACATGACGCGCTAACCTGTCATTGTGACTTATTTTCATTTCAGAACCTGAGAAAAAAAGAAAGGGCACAGAAGGATGTAAGAATGCATTAACTAATTTTACTACCTCATTCTCACTTCTCATACTTTAATACTATTTGCAGTCTATGTACCTCTTTTACTGAAAAAAAGAAAGTGGTTTGTTAACAGTACAATCAAGCCAGAACATCATAATGATGTCTATTTCGTAGACCCAACGGAGATGAACTATAGATTAATCAAACTGGTTTATTGTGAAGAATATGTGTTATTATATAGTTCGCACACTTTTGGAAAATCCACCCGATCACTGCGAGCTATGAAACAGCTGAGCAAATATTGTTACATTTGCATCTAGTAAGTTGTTTACTTCTTGATCAAAATTTTTTTCAAATAACACTAATTGATGTTACACAACTAATATTACATAGCGTGACTTTAGATGATCTCGAATTTGATGATGTAACAAGCTTCTGGAGATCTTTTGGTTGAAGAGTCTGACAAATGATTATTCATATATTTGGAATAAATTCAGCTGAATCTATATCTTCTATAGAAAGTGCCGATCAGTTTGGGGAGGCTTTTTTGAAAATGAGTAACCTTTTATCATTGAAGGAAAAAAATATGAATTTACTCGACAAGCCTTTTATTATCTTCATCGATGAATTCGATATATTGCTTTCCCCTCGATACGAAGCTGTCTGCAGTTCTCTTCTAATGAAACTTCGAGGCATTAAAACCAGCCTCATTTACACTATAAATTCTGTTGTCAGAATTGGAACATACAGCATTCTTGATATAAATCAATCAGATTGACAGTTGTTATCCTTCAATATTCGTGATTCTTTCAGTAATCCAAACTTCACAAAAGATCAAGTAAAAATCCTATACAAAGAATTTATGGATGAATATGAAATTGAAATTGAAGAGCAAGTCATTGAAGATATATATGCACAGACAAATGGGTATGTGAAACAGATCAGGTGATTTTATGAATTTCGAGTTTTCATGGTAACTGAAAATTTGCAGTTCATTTTCAACAGACATGCTGGCCTTGTAAACCTTTGCGAACGTGGGATTTGGGATCTCATGGATTCTAAATTCATCAAAAAATGAATAAATAAACTTAAATATGTAGACTGTGAACTTTACAAAATTAATTCTTTTGGAAGAATTATAGCAAAATATGGCACGTTTGACAGGTTAATTAAATCTCTTTCAAGTTCTGATGTATCTGAAGCTTTAGATCTTCTGCGTACCCATTTCTTGATATCTCTTGATGTTGAGGATATCACAAATACTACTGACATTAAGCTAGCTGAATTCTTGATAAGTGAAGGTGTCCTTGTAAATGCAGATAATCCACATACGTTCAAATGACTTCACCTTTCATGGATTTGCTAATCCAACAATTTGTTATACCTACTATTTATCCATATGTCCCCAAAACAACTGTCCCACAGCGGAATAATGATACCATAGACACTTTGAAGGTCTTGCAAAAGGCTATTAATTTTTTTGACAAATGTATCCTTAAACGGGCATCTGCTTTATCATACAAAATAGCCCTTATGAAAGTAAATAAAGAAACCAAAGTAAAAGTTTCTCGCGAAAGCGTTTATGACACTGAATTAAGTAGAAACCTGATAAATTGGTTAAGTAAAGAAAGAAGGTTTGAAGTAGTTGATCAATGGCACTTGTCCAAACCTCTTCCAAATGGAGAATATGAACATAAGTATTGCGATATAGTTATCAAGCCACCTATCACACGTTCCCAGACTTCTCATAACCAGCCAACTATCGTTCTTGAATTGTTAGCTACAGCGACAAACAAAGAGTTAGCAGAAATTTTGATCGAGCGCTCACTTATGCAGATCAACTTTCTGCAGGCGAGAAGTGGGTAGTTCATTTCACGTGTTGCGAGAATCACATTGCAAATCCTTTATGGCCGACCAAGGAAGAGTTAGAAAAAGGCCTTCAAGTTGTAATAGTCTGGCACGATTTGGACTTTATGACAGTTCGTATGGTTGCATATTTGTGGGATGAGGAATATAAAATGGTACATGTCACTGAGGTTGAGGAGTTTAAATGGGATTTGTAGATTAATGCGGTAATCTGACTCTGAGGCGCATCTCATTTTCTTTTTCCTATGTATCAATTTCTGTTATAGCATTTATTGTAATTACATTTTTTCACACTGAATTTTTTAACATGTATATGCAGTTTGTAATGTATAAATAAATATAATGCATTATCGTTATCATTATTTAGTAATAAACTGCTCTATCGTATAAACATTCTACGTGATGTTGTGAACTCGGTTCACATTCTCTGAAATAAATTTTAAATATATTAATTACATTTTTTATTATATTAATAGTAAATGTATATCAATGAAAAAATAATAAAGTTATCTCTTTAAATAATGTGAAAAGCTGTATTTATTCAACAATAAATGATGCAAAGTGATAGATGTGCACGTATGTAATCTGTGCCATTTTATGTCGATCAGATGACATATAAGAGGTCAAAAGTGGTCAAACGATATGTGTGATTTTTAGGCCAAGTCCCCAGAATACTTGGTAAAAATGAAAATAGCGGTTGTGTGACGTGGTGTGATAGATAAAGGGTACCTAATGATCGACAGCGTGACTGAAGTTCTGTTTATGCATAATGTAACACAAAATTTACATATAAAATTCTTATAAGATATGAAGCGTTATATAGTAGCAATTATGCAACTTATAATAAAAACTTCGTTAACTTATTATTCAGTCATAATAATATTCAAATAAAGTGACCCATCTCTGAGATCTCTTTATTCCACCAAGTTTTACTAGGAAGAACTTCAGAATTACAAGCATATTACACAAAGTCAGTATATTTGTTTTATACCCTTTAAAGGACCAAAATATTAATAAACTCTGGTCTTTTTCTTACAAAAAAAACCTTTATATTCACGTGAACAAGGTTGAAATACAAAAAGATGATCAAAGCTATTAGTGAACTTCAAGATTGGCATTACGAAGTTAACTTTCTATGAAATTTGATTTAGCCAATTAAAATCATTGTCGATCAACAAATGAAATCAAACTTCTGTTATGCTACGATCGACATAAATAGCACATATTACAGATAAGCCATATGATTGCAACATGACGTAACATGACATGACGTATAAAATTACATATAAATTTATATAACATAGAAAAAGTAACTTGACTTTAAAAAAGCAAAAGTCTGTACCCTTAATTCTGGCTGCAATAGCTTAATGCTCAATATCTTGATCAAACAATAATAGGGAAAAAAATTAGTATTATTTGATCTTTAACTTCTAATTTTTAGTAAAAAATCATGTCTAAGAACAGCAAACTTTCTTTGAGTAGAACTGTAGGTATTGCAAGAAAGACAGACTATTTGGACTTGGATCATTTGGACCTAGATCGTACTTACACTCTTAAAGAGTTTGAAATTATAAACGATCATCTTAAAAATCATTTCTTGGAAATCAAAATCAAAGGGAAAATCATTTCAATCAATCACTTCGAACTTGATAAATCTAGCAAGCTCGTTTCCATGCCACAAATACCAATTTTTAAGAAAACTGCATTTGGGGAGATTTTAGACAATTAAATAATTGGAACGTTCTAGCTAGTCAAACAATGCTGTGACATGTTTGTAAAGATGCTTTCGACTTGAAATGGAAGAAATTAAAGCACCAGATGTCGTCTTTACACTAAAAGAAATTTATAGTAGTCTCACTGAGATGTAAGGTATCTCCTTTCAAGATCTAGCATTCAGCTCTACATTTGTTATAAAGGTCGCTGACATAAAATATAGAAATAGCCCAAAATTCAAGGAACTCAATTCCAAGTTACTTTGATTTAAGAATGTCTGTTGAACTCGGTTGGTTGATTGATCCTATTAACGATGAGTTCTAGGTCTATAAACGAAACTTTGAACGTGAAGTCTTCTATTATCACCACAAATAGGAAGACTTAGATAGAGGTGATACTTTGCCAGAATTTACGCTAGAAGTTTGGAGTATAAAAGACGCAATATCAAAAGTGAGTTGTTATTTTTTTTGATTATTTCTATACTATAGATTCATTTATATATTTTGTGATTCAATTATAGGAACCTCCAAGACCTCCAATTTTAGAAGTTGAAAATCTAAATCATATCTGTTCATATTGTTTTCAGATTTTCAACAGTGGTTACCTTTTGATAAAGCATATGGAAAATATTCATTTACATGAGAACTGAATTAGCAAGAATGAAAATTAGAGGAATGGTATTCATCGATAAAGTATATAAAAAAATATTTTATAAATGAGTATTTAGGCCAAATGGATCAAAATTGCATCTGTAGCATTAGATGCAGACTTTGATTGTATAAAATTTTTTGAGATTATTTTTATTGCTGGAGTCATATTTCGTTCCTTTAGAGGTATATAACTAGAGAAATCTTGAATTGTGCTATTTGATCTAGCAATTGAGCAAATAGCAGCTAAAAACAATAATAATATGGTAATTTCCTGATGCAATTACACTAGCCAAAATCAATTTGCACAATAATTAATTTGAAAGAAATACTGTTCTAAGTCAATAGAATGATTCTTTAAAAAGAACTGGTTTTTGAATTATGGATTCTCTGGAGTTCTTTAATTTACCTTAGTAGTTGGTGATTGTAGAAACAACAAAAAATTAAAATAGATGTAACTTGTGTGACAGCTAATATTTTGCGAGAAATTATTTAAAAAAAAATTTTTTTTTCATCTCCTCAGTTGCTTCTGATCATCTTGGCTATTTTTTGTCAGCCAAGTGGAAAAATGCCAATGCTAGCTAAAGTATCTTATCTATTCAAAGTCTTCCAACATGTTTAATTTTCTTTTACCTGTAAAAAAGATTTCATAATGCTGAACTGTATTTTATATTATGATTACATATTTGAAGAAGGAAATTTTGATAAATCTGACACCTGTTATCAACACCTAGTTATAACCTTATGAATTGTAATTTAGTTGCAAAACCAATCAGATTTATTATTTCATTTTTGAAAAAACTGTATAATTTGTATTTAAGTATAATTGTGTAGTATACATATGCAATAAACATACACAGTAAATATATATGAAAAAAAGAGCAAACTTGAAATTTGTTTCTTAGAAAGAATTGTTCTAGTTTTATCATTACATGGATGATGTAATTTATTAATTTATTTGTAAAATATTATAAATGTTATAATATACATTAAGAAAAGGATTAAAAGATTAAAATTATTTTTTTATTCAATTAAAATATAGAAAAATACAATTATTCTAAGAAAAAATCATTCTTTATTAAATTGTTATTAATGAAAATAAAATATCTATTAATTTTAAATATTTTGTTTTCTGATTGGTCTTTTTTCATTTTTCTTTCTTTCATTTCAATTTTACAAAATATATAAAGTGAATATAAAAAATATATATAGGGATAAGTATATATGAAAAGTAACAATAAGTATAATTATTCTAATAAATATCAAAAAGCAATTGATTTTTAAAAAAAGAATGTAATTGTAATTGTTCTTCAAAAATTTTTCAAAGAACAATTTGCAGAATTAAGAGAATCTTTTCAAGTTCTTTCTAAATCAAAACAAGACATATTTTTAATGGTCTAACTTAAGATAATGGATGGTGAAATAACAAGTACTAGTAAATATCTTAAAAAAAAAATTAGATATAATAAAAGAAATGAAATCACAATACATCTCTTTATCAAGAAACTTATCTTAATCTGTTAGGAATTGATAAAACTTATTTTAAAAACATTAGAAATTATTTGATAAATAATAGTTTTTTATTAAGAATTCATGGTAATATTAAAAGAATGTATTAATGAAAATTAATAAAATTGGTACAGAAATAGCAAAGAATTTTCTAAAAAATTATGTAGAAGTTCATGGATTACCACCAATAGAATAATTTAATCAATTATATTCTTATCAGCTGAAATGAGTTATAAATCAATGCATAAAGATTTTCTAGTTGATCTAGAAGAAGATAGCAATTTAAAATAAATATAATGCTTTCAAAAAATTATGATATCAATTGATACCAAAGATTCAAATTATGAGATTCAGGATTGATTTGTATGATACTTATTAATATTTTAGAAATAGTTTATATTATAATACTTACTAAGAGAAAGAAGTTAAAATTTTACTTAAAAGATTTAAAGAATATCTATTTAAAGCCAAACTGGAAGAAATTATTATAATAAAAATACCAAGTTAGTAAAAGAACAAAAAAAATTAGTTAATAAAATATTTAAAAGATAAAATACAGTATTGTTATCTTACGATACTAACGACTGAAAATTAGTATTAACGCAAGATTAACAAGGGATTTAGCTTTAAGACTTT